AGAGAGAGAGAGAGAGAGAGAGAGAGAGAGAGAGAGAGAGAGAGAGAGTTGCATACTAGTGAAGCGAAACACAAGTGTGATGTAGAACCCAGAACCGACAAATAACAAGAGCAATATAATGCAGCGGAAGACTGATAAACATGGATCTGACTCACGCTTGACTCGGACTATCTACAGACTCACACCATACATTCATCGGGTGAGAAGGCCTGGCGCTCCGAACATGGAAGATGGCGTCAGGCCCTGTACAAACACACACGGACGAAATGTAGCGGGGAGAGACGAAGAGAGGAAGACGAGATGGCTCCAACACCAATATCACCGAAATAGAAGTCCCGAAATGTCGAAGATACAAAGTCTCGAAATGTCGAAGATACAGAATCTCGTGATGCCGCTGATGTCAGATTTCCAACATAGTCCTCTCAATGTCTCAATCCAGAATACTCTTAGTCCCTATGTCACCGATAGTCCACATCTGATCTCTGTCCAGATAGTAGCCCAGAATGTAGAAGATTAGAAGAAGATGATGATGCAGAAGAAGAAGAAGAAGAAGAAGAAGAAGAAGAAGAAGAAGAAGAAGAAGCCAGAGAGTCAGTGGAGAAGGTGGAGATGGAGAGGAGGGAGGAGGAGAGTCCTCGCTCCCTGATCCAGTGTCCAGGGACCAACCTGCGGATGCAAGGTGCCACCTTGGAGCTGCTGAAGACCTGCCTTCGACACTGGAGCTATGGCGCTCACAGGTAAGTACCAGGTAAGTCTCTACTCTCTCTCTCTTGCCTCTGCAGCTAGCGCACCTAGCGCTACTGCCTGGAGGTGCACTAATACCAAAGTTGCGCAGCGCTGCTCCTCAATGCCGCGGCCTCAAGTCTGTCCCGAACAGACCGCTGGCCGGTACTAATACTGGCGGTGGCCTGTTCGGCCTGGCTGCTGGTGAAGCCACGCCGTGATCTGAACCATCAAACCGATTTGCGGTTCAGATCGGATCCGCGGGGGAGTGGCAGCCTCAATCTTCGGCCGCCAGGCCCGAACGAAAAACGTTTGGGCCGGTTTCCCGCTCAGTGCCTGCAGTTGCAGACCCGGGTCTAAATCCCGTTGCTGGAGGCCTACCCTCGGCCTTTCTCAAAGGTCCGGCCTTTAACCCGGGGCCGGACTGGCCCAGCATGGCCACGGTCTGGGATATCCCTTAAGACCTAGCCGTCGGGCCTAACAGGGCCTGTGTGGAATCCAGTATGTAACAGAGAGACTCAGCACAGAGAAAATAAACAAATACCCACATGGGTGCCTGGAATCGAAAGCAATGCAAATTGAATATAGACGAGACTGAGGGCCCCTCCACGCCACTGTCGAAACGAAAAATGTTCAAGCGCATGTTCGCGCAGAAAGTGGCAAGATGCATCTGTTCCTATGAATAGCAACGGATGCATCTGGCCATTTTGTGAGAAAGATGCACTCGTGCTTTTTCCGCAGAATGTGGCAATATGCATCCGTTGCTTGGTGCAGGCGTTGGCCTGTCTTCTTTTCTGAACTTGTTTTTTTGTTGCAAACAGGATTCCGCCAAGTACAGCCTCCTTCCTCTCCGTCAAGCGCATCCCTTTCACGTCTCTTCTCCCGGCAATTGCCGCCGGCAACCACAAGCGGAGCCTGATGGTCGCGGTCGGTGCAGCTCAGCTGCTCGAGCACTTGCCTTTGGCACAGGGCTTCACTCATTCAGCAGGCAGTCGACGGCGTCACGATGCCTGTTGTCGTTGGAGTAATCACCTTGAGCAGAAGTCTGTGGCACCACCATCTGCGTTCCACGAAGTCGGTGGCATTCAGGAGCAGGCGGCGTATTGCAGGGCGCAGGCACGGCAACAACTAGTAAGTGCAAAGGAATTCTTCTCGTCAGCGGCAAATCGAGTGTTGTCGTCATCGTCCCTGAGAAGGTGTGAACGTCAGTGCGGACTGACATCGCCTGCGTCTGTCAAAGCGAGTCTGCTCTCTCTCTTCTTAGATCATCTCTTCCTCGAGAATTGGAACAAGCCAAATCTTCGGGGAACCGTAGTTATTATAAAGGCTCAGCAAGGAAATGAGGGCAATTCTGCGCATGTTGACGAGTCGCCTACGGTCAAAAGCTGGGTACGGCAAGGAAATCCGGAAGTGCGGACAAGGGGAGATGCTCGCGGCATCAGGACTGAGGCTGGTCTGAGGCAGGACAAGACCGGGGATGGGACTCAGATTGGGGGGGGAGAAGCACTCTCTCCTAAGAGGCTGGAAGGAGTGGAGGGGGAGGGAACTGATGAGTATGCTGATGTGAAGAGGATATTGCACCAGAGAGAAGTCCAGAAAAAGCGAGTGGGATGGTCGAGGGAGAGGATTCCTTATAGGGGTGGAGATCGAAGACCGAGGTGGCGTCTTGTGAAAACGAATGTGTGCATCGAAGACCCGTTTGAGGAGTTGAATCTCCGCGGCATCCAACGACAAGTCGGCGGGATAAGGGTACGGCAGCACGTGAATCCGCTCAAGGCTTCGCTGCAGGTCCAGGTCGAGCCGCCAAAATGGGAAGAAACTTTCCGCAACCCTTGCCTTCCCCTCGTTGTCGACATCGGCAGTGGGAGCGGGCGATTCGTGATGGTGCTTGCGAAACGGAACAAGGGGCGGGTGAACTACTTGGGATTGGAAATTCGGGAGAAGTTAGTGGACAGGTCGAGGCAATGGGCGTTGGAGCTGGGGCTGGACAACACACACTTCATGCTAGCCAACGCAACGTTTTCGTTGGACGGCATCTTGGCCTCCTACCCGGGTAAACTCTCGATGGTGACGATTCTATGTCCGGATCCCCATTTTAAGAAACGCCATCATAAGCGCAGAGTCGTGCAAAAGCCTCTTGTCGAGACGATCGCCAAATGGATGGAAAAGGGAGGAAGAGTCTTCGTTCAGTCAGATGTGCAGGAGGTTGCCATCCATATGAAAGCGCAGCTTGAGATGTACGGTGGCGATTCTCTCTGTCTCGCGCCAGAACACCAAGACCTACAGAACTGTGATGGAGACGGCTGGCTTATGATGAATCCCCTTGGTGTACCTACCGAACGCGAAACATATGTTTTGTCTCAAGGTGGTAGAATGTACAGGTCCTTGTACATCCGACGATAGCGATGTACGGCCCTCTTCTGTTCGGTGAGTTGTCTTTCGTTTTTTTTTTTTTTTTTTTTTTTTTTTTGTTCGACCGTCGCCCTTGTTTGTCTCGCGATGACAAGCTCAAGGTTCGGCCTTTCGAGTTGTTCACCTCGTGCGCTGCATTCTTGTACCAGCCTGGATATTCCCTTCGCTTCGATGAATGAGATCTTCTACAGGTGTAGCTTGAGTCTGACTTCTGTATTGTGTGGCTTGGCTTCTGCAGTTGTGGCTTTTGCTTCTGGCTTCTCTATTGTGATGTTATTCTGCAGTTGTGGCTTGCTTCTGCCTTCTGCCTTCCTCGTTCTGGCTTCTGGCTTCTGGCTTCTGTATTTTGTTGTTGTTGTTGTTGTTCGATAAAGGAAAGGCTGGAGTGAATTAATGAAGGGAATTTTCAGTGGACACTTATCATTTACTTTATCCGAGTCCATGATCTATTTTTGGTTCAACCTATTGGTTGATCGAATGGGGGCTTTTGTCTTTTCAGTCCAACTTTCTTTTCTTTGTTCTTTTTCTTCCTTCTTCTCCTTCCGAGATTTCTTGTCATTCGTTGATATGGTTCTCCTTACGTCGGATCTCGTTGACATTCATATGGAGCATGATGGAGAGGAGAGTAACTCTCTGTCTCTCTCTCTCTGTCTCTCTCTCTCTCTGTCTCTCTCTCTCTCTGTCTCTCTCTCTCTCTCTGTCTCTCTCTCTGTCTCTCTCTCTGTCTCTCTCTCTCTCTCTCACACACATTCTCTCTTCTCTCTCTCTGACGTTTCTACTGCTGCTTCGATGTTTCGCATTCTGTTCACAAGTACGGCAACCGTCTCTCTCTCTCTCCCCCTCCCTATACCTCTCTCTCTCTCTCCCTCCCTATACCTCTCTCTGTCCATCCCTCCCTCTCTGTCCATCTCTCTCTCTNTCTCTCTCTCTCTCTCTCTCTCTCTCTCTCTCTCTCTCTCTCTCTCTCTCTCTCTCTCTCTCTCTCTCTCTCTCAAACACACACACACACACACAGACATTCACCACAATATCTGTGCTTTCAACCGAGTCATGTCATTTTCTCTTCTAATACTGCCATGTTTGTTTGTTTGTTTGTTGCAATGTTGAGTTTTCATAAGTTGATCTTTATTGAAAAAAGGCGTGTTTGGTTTTCGTGTTTGAGTGCAAGGCGCCCTGCCTCTGTGGTCGACAAGTTGTGCTCCTCTTTTTTTTCCGTTCAAATTTCTCATTCCTTCCTCTTCCCGCACACATATGTCGTATGCAGAGTAAACTGACTTCCCCTCTCCACGTGCGCCTTTCGAATGTCATCTCTCATCTCCTTTAATGTGCTGTCTCCTGGAGGATCCCATCCTCCTCTCGCCATTCTTCCCCTTCCCTGCTCTTTTCTAGGGACTCCCCTCATCTGGACAGTTTTTCGTGGAAGTCTTGTTTTTTTTTTTAAGGAAAATCCAACTCGATGGGGGTCCAGCATTTTCCTTGCCCCTCTTTTTAAGGAAAATCCAACTCTTCTCCGTGCAAACACTGGGGGTGACAGAGGGACCATAGTAGTGATTGATGCCAGACTCTTTTTTTTTTTCTTCCGCGGGGGGCGGGAGCACCATGCTCCAATCTATTCACGGGGAGCAACCCCCATACATCACAACGGGCCATATTTAGAGCACACAGGCCTTTGCTTGATCCTTCACATGGGGTCCAGGTCCCTGCTGCCAAGCCTTTGGCGGCTGACTTACAGTCGCTTGCTAAAGACCTACCTAATCATCATGTTATCTGCCCACAACTCCAGCTCCATTCTCCCTTCCTTCAAAGTGTTTTCGTCTGTCATGTTCTTACCATCTCCCCCAAGTGAGGATGCTCACTATCGGATTTGGACGGATAACCCATAGGAAGTACTAGGAACATATTTGTTTCCTTTTTTTAAGTTTGGACCATTTCTCGATTAAAGCGTGTAATCTGTGACAATGTGCGGAGGAACAGATGCAGAGAACGATGCAGAGAACGATGCAGAGAACGATGCAGAGAACGATGCAGAGAACGATGCAGAGAAATGGTCCAAAATCTGATCCTTGTACTGAGGAACATTTCTGATAACCCATTTTGGAACAGATGCAGAGGACCATTTCCTTGGGCAGATGAACAGATTTGGGACCATCACTCTGTATGGGTCCAAAATTGTCAATTAATGTCCGGAAGGAAGACCGCAGGAACAGAGTTGAAGTATGTGGTGTTTACCACCATTCGCTCGCTCTCCGTATCCACCCATTCTTTTGCAGCAACGTCGTCTGTTTCAGCGGCCTTTTTCTTAAAAAAAGGGGCTACGGCCTTGACGTATCATCATCTCACTTGAACGGACAGGAGCTACCGTATTCCGCAGAACGCAACACATATGTGTTGCAAATGAAGACAACAGACACGTTGCTGTGTATTCGAATACAACACGACATGCGTTCTATTCGAACAATGCGTATTTTTGAATACAACACATGCGTTATATTTGAACTCTCATTTTTTTTTGGGGAGATCCCTAATCCCAAATACAACGCAAATGCGTTATGTTCAGGGCAAGACGGTACGTTATTCATAATTGCAGTATGTTTACTCATCTGCTTCAAGTGGAGTTCGAACTCAGGTATGTATTTCAACGGTTCCGTGGTGTACCAACTGAGCTAGGCCAGCTGGTGCCTGTTTCATTTGGTGTTTGAATGTGTTCGAAGGCTCAAAAACTGGTCACTTAAATTGTTTTGTGCCTAGGCTACCGCCAGCCTGCGTGGCTTGGCATGCCCGGGCCGTGGGGGGTGGAGGCTGTGGGGGAGTTAAAAAAAAAGAAAGAAAGAAAAAAAAGATGAAGGACGGATCAAAAAGGAAAGAAGTCGCCCGGACTGTGCAGTATCTCTGCCTTTTGGCTACGATGAAGTGATGTATCCGTCCGTTCTGCTCACTTTAAAATCTGATCCGTGGACGATCGGGCCACAAAAAAAAAAGAAAAAAAAAGAGGCGAGGACTGTGGTTGTCCTGTGACGTTAGAATCCACCCTTATATTATATTGCAGGTTGATGATGGGTCAGCAAGGGGGGGTTTTGTTGGGTGGGAGGGGGTGGGGGTGGGGGGGGGGGGGGGGGGCATAAAAAGGAAAATGAGTGGCGCTCGTACCCCTGTCCCCTGCTACGTCACTCTCCTACCAGGCGAGCACTCCGGAGCCTTGACAGCTACTTCAGGAAAAAAAGTTCTCCTCCCACTCATGCTGAATCGTTGACCGACGGTAAATTTTCCATACCTTGTTTTTTCTTTTTCTATCCTTTGCAAGGAATATGAGCGAGAGCGAAAGACAGAAATCCTAATTTGCAAAATCACGAAGTAGCACAGATAATTATATACTAAACGGAGAGCTCAATGCACCAAGATACCATCCAAACAAGAGTAATACAATGAAGTCACCTGCCAATGTCAACTCTCTCTGGCCACATCAACACAGTATTCAATGTCACTCTCAATGTCTGGCGCCCAGCGCCCAGCCTACACTACTTGGTCTACCTACTACCACTGCCCTTCATGCCATGTGATCACTTCGGCGTTGAAGACCAATGTACGTGACGTCGTCACCAATGCCGACCGGCAGCATACACCAGGTATGTCGTCTCTCCTCTCCTCATCTATCCCAGTCTCATTCCTTCTTCATGGCCTCCTACCAGAAGACCACCATCGCCATCACCTGCTACCCGCACACGCAGCCCGGCTATGGCCGCCATGCGCCCGCTGCCACTGCAGAGCCCTCACCTCTTAGCGCCCGTGTGCGCCCTGGCCTGCCTGCTTAGCGGTATGTTGTCTCTCCTCTCCTCATCTATCCCAGTCTCATTCCTTCTTCATGCGCGTCCTACCCGAAGACCACCATCGCCATCGCCTGCTACCCGCACGCGCAGCCCGGCTATGGACGCCATGCGCCTGCTGCCACTGCAGCACCCTCACCTCTTAGCGCCTGTGTGCGCCCTGGCCTGCCTGCTTAGCGCAGCATTGCATGGCGTAGCAGCAGCGTGACCGCATTGCCTGCGCGGGCCAGAATGCCCTTGCCTGGGGAGGTCACTTGCCTATAATATGGAAAGCTCCCCGGTCGCTTGCTACCTTGCCCAGCCGTGTGGGGCGCAGTAGCTTGAGACTGGGCCAAGGTGTCTGCGCCCAGGCCCAGTTTCAGATACTGGCCTGGGCCTGGTGCAGTTCGGCACGTCGACGCAGACACCCAGCTCCAAGTCTTTGCTGTTCCCCTATTGGCTGACGGCCGATGTGTGGCGACAATGCCGTCTTCTCATTGGTCAGCGGCGTTTCCATGATGTGTCGCCCTCTCAGTGCGTGTGTCCAGGGAGCAACCACCCACCTCAGCCCTGGGCTCAACTGTACCACACAGCTACAGCTTCTGGAATGAGCCAGCAGAGGCTCCCATTTCTTCGTAACCAACTGGCGTGCTGTAACCGTCGGATACCCTTCACTTAGGGTGCGCACGAGGGGCGTCAGATGGATATTCAGCCCTGCACTCGGAAAATATTCAACATTGGCCTCAGATGGACATTCAGGCCCGCCTTCACTTAGAGCGCGCACGAGGCTTGCTAGGGGGCCGCAGCCAAAAACACTTGCTACTCTGTTAAAGGGTGCACCGGGAGGGCTCATTCCTCGCACCTTTAAAAAGGACGATGCCCTTTAGATATCATCATTGAACTTGCGGGCCCCAGGCAATTTGGAACGAGTTTCTTCTTCTCATCTGATCGTATCTGGATTTGAACTTGGGTCTATATTTCAACAATTCAGGGGTGTACCAACTGAGCTAGGCCGGGCCCGTTCGGGTCGAACTTCTCGCGTGTTGGGGATGCAGGCACATTTTTCCATACATACGCTCCCCGCCCGGCTTTTCCTCCTCTGCTTCAACCCTGCAACAACTCCCTAGGATCTCTTCCCACGCTTTGCCAAGCACTAATTGTTAACTGTCTACCCAGCTGAGTTGATCGGAATTCGGAACTGCAGTCTGTGTTTCAACAACAGTCCGTGCTATTGGGTGTATCAACTGAGCTAGGCTTGTTGGTGAGATGGGCATTTTCAGAATGTCGAGTGATCAAAGTAATTGAGAGACCGAATGGCATGAGGAAGAACTCAGCGTTCTGAAAATGTCCATCTCGCCAACGAGCTAGGTCAGTTGGAACGGCCATGAAGTGTTTGAAAAGTACAGACAGCAGCTAGCGGCGACAAGCCAGGCGGCCCAGGTCACCTTGTTGGCCTTGCGGCCCGGCCGGGCAAGGAAAACAGGAGATTTATTTTTTCTTGTCAGGCCTAGTGCCCAAGGCAAAAAGGAAAATGTCCGACAGTTATGCTGCACAGTAACCTGGGATGAGCAAGGCACTCCCGGCCGAGCCCATAACCTGCTGTGGGCCCACC